CACATTTAAAGCCCCAGTGTGTACAGGAAGTAAATTTATAGCAGCTAAACTCCCCACAAGAGAAAGCCAGGAAGATCTAAAATTGAGACACAAACCTCAATAACATCAACAATTAAAAGGAAACTTTACGGGAAGCAAGAGCAACACATTCAAAAAGCTAGCAGTAAGGCAAGAACTAACTAAGATCAGATGCCCGCGCCCCCGCCAGAAAATGAAAAGGGTGTATACACAAATATAACCTCCCCCCCGTCCCAAAAACCAAGTATGATGCCCAGATGTTTTTTTGAAAAGATCAAGCAAATGTGTTGATAGACCGCGTACAGACTGTAATAATATGAAAAGAGCAGAAGAAACAAATAGACGCAATAAAAATGATAAGGCGGATAATCACCCAGCCCCCCCCACAGAAATACAAGAACTACCATCAGAGAATACTGATACGGTTTAAAAAATACACGCTCTATGCAAATTAAACGTAGAAAATCTAGAAGAAAGGAGTGTAAGGTTCGCGTTGGAAGCCCATCTTGACACTCTCCCAAGACTAAACCAGGAAGGAAGTTGAATTCCTGAATAGACCCAATAGCCAGTTCCTCTGTGAAATGAAGGGAATAATTAATGGACCTACCAACCAAAAAAAGTCCAAGGACCAGATGGCATTTCTACAGCTGAATGGTCTACCAGAGGTACAAGGGAGCGAGCCTGCTACATTCCTTTGAAACTAATCTGTCCGAATCAATAGAAAAAGGACGGAATCCTCCTCTAACTGCATTTTATGGGAGGCAACCTCATCCTGATACCAAAGTCCTCGCAGAGATCACAATTAAAAAAAGAGAGTTTTAGACACTTTCCCTGCATGAACATCATTGCCAAAATCCTCATTAAAAACTGGCCCAAACCGAGATCCCAGCGCAAGCACATCAAAGGCTTATCCACCATGATCAAGTGGGGCCTCATCCCGTGGGATGCCGAAGGCTGGTTCAACGATATGCAATCAATAAACGTTCAATCCAGCGATATAACAGAACCAAAGGGACAAAACCAGCATGGATGATCTCAATACTGATGCCAGAAAAGCGCCCTTTGACAACATTCACCAAGCCGCTTCATGGCTAAAACTCTCTCAATAAATTCAGTATTGATGGAACGTATCCAAAATAATAAGAGCGGTATTTATTGACAAACCACAGCCATATCATATTGAATTGGAGCAGAAAACTGGAAAAATTCCGCTTTTGAATTCTGGCACAAGACAGGGATGCCTTCTCTCACTACTCCTATTCAACAGTAGTGGTTGGAAGTTCGGCTAGCGACACCAAATGTGTTGGAAGTCTTGTTGCTAGGCATCAGGCAGCGAGAAAGAAATCAAGCGCTAATTCATTTAC